ACAGAGAACTTTGAATCTTCACGATCATCTACAGATAATTTTCAATTAACATGCTACATCAATTTGTCGTATTCATAAAGTAATGGAGATGTAAATTCTGAATTTCTTTAAATGATCATTAAAACTCAAAATTCTCTGTTTGAGATCTATAACAACTGCAAGCGCAACCAGGTACAGGGGGTGGGACCTCTTCAAGCGCAACCGTGTGATTGATGGGAACTCTGCAAGTGCAACCGCCCTGTTTATTGACAACAACTTTGGCTCGCGATCAAAATATATTTAGACGATTGAATAAAACCTTTCAATCAAAACCGCGGGACCGCTTTTCAGAACAAGAAATTTTTGACATTTAGCTTCCCAAATGGACGACACCAAGTCAAACTGGGCATCAGTTGGAGACAGTGGACGATCTTCGAAAGCCATCTCAATAGCAGAGAGGCCATCGCAAGCAACCTCGGGGCCAGTCAAAATGTTTGGGAACCATTGCTCAAGGAGCCAATCAACCGCCATTATACCGGCCAACAGACCAATGAGTTCACTGCGGTATGGACTTTGGTCCTGGGGCAAACCGGGAGTCTGACACCGGATGATGATTCGATGGCATCCTCCATGCTTCACCAGGATTTGAACCGCCACGGTTCCTAACTCGTTCTTGAAGGATCCATCGCTGATCACGCGCAGGCGACCTTCCAACAGAGCATCAGCTAAGGTGGCTTCCTCACTGTGAACCTCGATCTCATCTGGAACCCACCCGAAATAGTCCGTGCAAAGCTTGGCAGCCGTCTGCCACGCTTGAAGGATGGATGGGCTGTTGGGAGGGGACGGTTCAGAGGCACGGCCAGTACCTGTGAGAAGAACACTGTCAGATCCAGTGATGGGTCGAACCGTAGCGCGAAGAACATCAGAGGGAAGCGGTGCGGTTCACCATGGGCAGGAAGGATGTGACGGCCCTGGTGCGTAGCAACGTGACGTGGTGTTGGAGCCCTCAGAGCAAAAGTGTTTCCAGGTTGCCCCATGGCGGTGGAAAAGGCCTGTGGTGGGGGACAGTAACCAATTCCAGTCCTCCAGAGGATCAGTCCAGGGCCCTAAAGGCTGTTGTAGTGGGTGATGTGGCCCGTTGGAGGCAAGCAGGGCTCTGGACAAGGTGGTCTGCCACAGGTCCCAGTGATGCCGTGTTGGGCAAACTGTCCTTGGCCATTGGTATGGCGAGCGGCAGCACTCATCCCTGAGCCCATTCCACGCGGAGCGACGAATAAACCTGCCATCAGCAGTCACAATGTCAGACACTGTGCATACCTGG